TATTTACTCGTTTTTTACCAACAAAACTACAAAAAAATGTTATCAATCTAAAAAGGACAACCGGAGCTTTAAAACAAATGTTTTTTTTTTAAATAACCACTTGTGTCTTGTGTTTTTTTTTAAAACAAGACAATCAATCACAAAGTCACTTTTTATCTGATGATGCACTTCCAATGTGCATCGATATGGTAATGAATAAACCAGCAAAAAAATATATATATATATCCCATGTTTTTACTTTATTCTGAAGCACGATATACAGGCGCTTTACAGGTAATGGGGACTCCCCTCCACCACCACCAATGTGCAGCATCCACCTGGATGATGCAACGGCAGCCATAGTGCGCCAGAACGCTCACCACACATCAGCTATCAGTGGGGAGGAGAGCAGAGAGTAATGTACCCAATTCATAGATTCTAACCTTCTCCTAGTAGACACCTAGGAGAAGGTTTACAAATCATTTTCAGCTACCTGACAGGCCTAGAATGGAAAATTCTGACCTCTGAAGACCAAAAAAAAAAAAAATTCTGCCTGCTGTTTTTGCTATTTTGTTTTCATATGTTTGTTTGCTGAGTGGACACATTAAGAAATAAAAGAAATTTGACTGTTCACACTCAAAGCCAAGGGGGTTAGCTTCAATTTACGACCTGAACCAGGCTCCTGCTATGTTCTGCTGTTTAAAATGTTTAAAGAGAGGAAATTCCAGGTAGAAATTGGCTAAAAGGGTCTTCGCCAGTAATAAGTTAAAAGATATTTGCATACATTTTTAAAAGCTATTTGCAGCATGATCACATGATTGAGCTTTTTGGGATAGTTGCAACAACACCAGGCACTATTATGAGTTTGAGTGTTCGTTTTTTCAGGCTGCGTGACCATGTGGGTTCTCTTCATGGCTTGGTGCCCCAGGAAGTTTTGTGTCTTGCCCCCTGGCTACGCTTGCACTTACTGTTTAATAATGTGCTTCCCTTCCAGATGCAGAACTGTTTAAACTAGTGTCAAAAATACTTTTCAGAGATGTCTAACAATGTAAGAGGAAAATGTAATCTAACGCATCAGATTTTCTGGGAAAAAAAACATTTTTAAACAGTAACCTAAAGATATACGGTAGGACAGATTACACGGAAGTATATGGCTAGAAAGAAATTTTAGGTTTTAGATACAGATGAGACCACAGGAGATGAAAAACTGTGATACAAATATAAATGTATGAGGTGCTGTTTAGGCCATTATTCAAACTTTACCTCTCATACACACACAAATTGCTCTCACTTACACACAAAATGCTCTCACACGCTCCATTTTACATCTCACATTCATATAAAATGCTCTCACACTCTCCAATTTAATTCTGACATACACACAACAAGCTCTCACATTCACTAGTTTTACCTCTCACATTCACTAGTTTGACCTCACATACACCTCATATAAATTCAGTGCTTATAACTAAATACTTAAAACAAACAACATAAAAGAAGCAAAAAATAAAATTGTACATAGAGATGGAATACACAGCATAGCATGATAGCTTTCTCTCAGCCAAAACATTGTGCAACACAAGGAAGGGAGATGAAAGAAGGGATTTTTGTCAGATGCAGAAAAAATATTACTGGTTGAAATTTGGTTGAGAGATTGTGGTGCTTATTTGGAGGATGTTTTTACATTATTGTTGTTTTTTTTGTAGTGAAAAAGTAATGCGTTTTTAGTTTGTTACAAACATAGATGAACTATTCCAACTGGCAAAAACCAGTTCTTCTTGTGGTCTTACGTTAAAGTACTTCCTAAAAAGATAGAAAGGTTGTATTAGCCTGTCAAGTTACACTATGATTGATGGAGAAAAAGACAGGTGCAGAGCTCTCAGCAGGAAACCTTTCTAGTGAAATAACCGTTCTATTTACACATCCCATATGAAAGTTAGCCATAATGAATTTGTTATAGTATGTCTGTATTTTGTCTGTAAGTTTTCCCATAATTTTGTTGTTTCATATGCTTTTTGTCGTACTCACTCCCACGTAAGTGCTGGTTTGTGCATCCGAAGCACCACGGTAACCTGCCGAGCCATCACTCAGACTATAAATTCATCATCTGCCGTGACAACTAGATCAGAGTGAAAATCAGTTCCAGCTGTGTATAATTAAAGCACTACCTTATGTTATGACAGTGTTAAATATCTCCTAATTTGTGGATACTTCTGGAGGCCCAACATGAGGAATGATATTGACAGTTTTGAGGCACCATGCTCCACCTGCAATTGCGCCAAAGATCCCAGAATAATACCAGCCGGTCTCCTTCAACTACTTCCTACATCTCAAAGGAGCAGTCATCTATTTAATGACCCCCATGGTCATCTGTTTTGGTGGACTTAATCACTGGCCTTCTTCACTCCCAAGGCTGTTCGATTATTTTGGTCACCTTTCAGATGTTTTTACAAAGGAGATTTTTCAACTCAATTGTTTCCTTCCGGAGTTCTTCAGTTTGTTTCCAGGTGTTAGCGCACCTTCTGCAGATGGCTAAGGACTAATATCTGTCCTCAGACTACCACACAGATACTAATGAACAGGGGGAATGTGGGAATCAGGATCTTGAGACCTATCTAAGGTGCCACATTTCTTTCTTCCAGGAAGGTTGAGTGCAGCTGTTACCATGTGTAGAATTTTCACGTCAAATCTTGGTGAACATGTCTACTGGAATTTATCCCTTTCAGTATTTGGAAATTATAAATCGATGATGAAATGCTTGACTAAAAAGGCAATAAGAGGAGGCATGATGCCATGACATTCTGCTTTGCTGCCTCAGTTCTTGATCCTGGGTTCAATTCCATATTTGGGCACCTTCTGTGTGGAGTTTGTACAAGGGTTTTCTAGATGCTCTGGCTTCCTCTGTATTCCCAAATATGTTCTAGGTCAGCTGATGTCTCTAAATTGTGTTTGTTTATATGTTTTATTTATACAGTACGTATGCAGCTTGTGATGGACTGGCATTCAGTTTAAGGTGTAGTCCAGTCTTCCGCCATGTGTTTCTGGGACAAGCTCTAAGTTGTTGTGACCCTCAGCTGGAATTGTCATGCTTAGCTCCACTGTTGAAAAGCCGAGCAAGCTAGTATTTACATGGTAGCCAGCCACTCTTACTGTCGCCTGTCATTCAAGCACCAGTTACCACAGGTACTAATCTCACAGGAGTCTTGTACCACCTGGAGGCAATTATACGCACCGCCTCAGGTGGTTCAAGCTGCATAAACTGTGATCTGGCAGTGCTCAGGACACCTTTCCAGAGTTTGCTACGTTCCTAGTTCTCGCTGCGTGTTTCCTAACTCTGGATCCTCACTTCACCTTAACAACATTCATTGGATTCTCCTGTTGTGCTTTGGTACAGTATCTATTACTTTTTAGACTTCCTTGTTTCCCTTTACTCTGAGTTTGGATTTTCCTTTGTGCTGTGATTCTGTTTACCCAGCTTGATCCTGTTCTGGAATATGCTTTGCATGGTGTTTGCCTGTCCCAAGCTTTCTGTGCTCACCTTTGCTGTGCCAGTCTCTCCTTCACAGCTGTAAACATCTTGCTGCCTGCTCACACTGCTGCTTACCTGTTTTCCCGGAGTTTCTCTGCTTACGTTTGGATTTATTTTACGAACACAAATTGCTACCTTTCAGTAGACACATTACAGGAATAAGCGGTTTTCTGATATGACATAGAATCCTACAGTATTCTCAATTGCTGAGAATCATAGTCACCAGAAATCCCAGCTCCTGTTGTAACAAGTAACTCTTCTGTCAACAAATTCACATATGTCTCAAACCTCTTTAATCAAAACTTAGCTGAATTGTTTTTGGTTGGAAATTGACAGGAAAAAGAAGGTTCTGAAACACTGTATCCCACATTACTGTATATAAAACGTCAGTGAGAATTTAGTAAATGTCCCAGCATAGTATTGTTAATTTTATCAAGTGATGAAATATTAGGTGTGTAATTACAGGAAACCTAAACAATTCTAAGATTACCGTAAATCATACTTACATTTTCATAGGGGTTGTGCTTGATTTTACTGCCATGCTGTAATGTGAAGGAAAAACATGAACAAGACTTAATTGTCAGTTGACTACATAGTGCTCTATCATTAATTATGTTAATGTTTAAATATACAAAAATATTTTCAAGCCTGTCTACAGAATTTAATTGCATTAAATTGAAAACTAAGTATGAAAATGATATCTTGATTGAAATGAATGAGATTCTGACACAGAATAATGCTGAGTTCTTTATAAACAAAGGTCAGAGTTAGGGGAAAAAGTCTGATAAAGAATTGGTTGTCAAAAGGGAATTCCATAACAAATATTAGGTTGCATTTCATGCCTTTGCATCCTCAAACCTCAGACCTATGTATTATTTTAAAATATATGTATTCTCCTGCCTGAAAATGTACCTTTTTCTCTGATATATTAGTCATTTGGGAGCTATCCAGTCAGCACCATTCCCAGTATGTACAAAGTCAAACAACATTGTTTTTTCTTACATAAGTATATCCTATTGAGTAATGAAGCTGATACATTTCTAGGGTTCTTACCTTTAAGTATTGTTTTAACTCAGGAAACTACAAAAAGGAATACGCTATATCACTTACTATGCCAGCACATTTTACAAATCATCCATCCATTTAATTGTTCATAATATTTATAAGCTTTTTGCTGAACTATTTTTATGACATTTGTTTGTTCTTTTAGTATAATAAATAGCTGTACCTAGAAGCTTAGGTACTGTATATACTGTAGGTATGTACTGTATATTATTCAAAATAAAACATATTTAAAAAGGAGTGGATAGTACTAATAGTATAGAAAGTATTAATATACAGTATATGATATTTTAAATATTCTATTAATATATGTATTTGCATTACTCATTATGAGTAAATACATTTTAATGTGATGGAGTAGTGCCCCTTTGCTGAGCTTTTTAAATTATAGTACTTAATGCACACCAACCAATAACATGTTGTTTTGCAGTTAATAGCATCCATAGTGTTCCTGAGTTTTGGAATAATTGTCTCCTTCTTCTGTGTGGTGGTGGATGGAGTCTTCATCCTGCTGAGCCTTGTAAGTTCTAGTCTTTTTGATTTATTTTTCTAATTTCAGATCAGGAAAACATGGCTTCCAACACAAAAAAATAACATTCCTTCTACTGTATTGACTGAAGTGTAATAATAATAATAATAATAATAATAATAATAATAATAATAATAATAATAATAATAATAATAATACAATACAGGTTATTTCAAACAATATATATACTATGGCATTAACAATGTAATGTTCTTTTCAATTAAGTCAGAAGTCAGTATTTTTATAGAATGGTGAATCCCCAGTGTTACTATGTAAAGATCCTGGACTTAATTATAGCTTTGAAACATTTACAATCTTTTGAGATTAAAGTTTTGGATAAAGCTTCACAACTTTTTGCTCGGTGCCTTGGTATAGAGCATGTTCCCTCCATCAGTTATGCTTCCAGAAATCTTACCTTTTTATCTTGGCAATGATTTGTAACACAAAACTTCTGGTGGTTTGAGGTAGCAGTGGTTGCCCTGTCATCTGCTGATCAGCACAGAGCAAGGGCAGGTAGGAAAGAGTGGAGTCCCTCTTTTCCTAAAGGAGAAACTTGTAGCACAGCATCTATAATCCCCTGTAATTTGTATGAAGAATCAAATTTACAATTTGATGAGCTTTAACGAGATATAATTGAAACTCTGGCAGGCTTTTTCCCAGTCAGAGTTGACTCATTGTGAAGTAAATTAAATGTTGGGGACAAACTGGCTACCTCTACCCTAGCTGGGTCTAAAGAGAGAGCCTATTCAGCTTACAAGCTGCTCACTCCTGCCCCTGAGAAGAATATTCTTCTAGTTCAGAAATAGGCCTACATTGCAACATGATTTTCCTTGCCAATGTTTTTGTGACAGTTTAAGGCAAAATTATATCAGAGAAGTTGTAAGTAATGCTTCTTGACCTGTCCCTTGACACCCTTGCTACAATAAACTGACCTCATTGTCAGTTGTTTCTGAGTGAAAAGCACAGATACAAGTTAGCAATTTTGCAGTAACAAATCATAACGTAACTAGATTGGACCATATGTTATTGCTGAAGACATCTAGCTTGATCTTTTTCCGATGTACAGGGTTATTGCATACAATGTTTTTTTTAAATTCTTTTCTTTATTTGAAATTAACCTTATCAAACAGGCTAGTGATTAAGTAATATTCTCACAGTTAATTGGCTTAATGAATTAAGCACAGTAATCAACACAAGAGTCTGGGGTTTATAGTTTTTGTGTGCATGTTAGTTACTGTATGCTTACCTTCATGGTTCATGGGACTGTGTGCAACAACTACCATTAAAATGTTTCGAACATGCACTCCTTGGTGAGAATTATATGGGAACGTAGTGTTGTTGTTTTTCAGTGAAAGATAAAACATTAGTATGGAGGGTATGTCTATGAAGCCAGAGGCAAATGATACTGTATTACAAAAATATTACATTTTGTGTTGTTTTTGATATATAGCCAGCTCCTTCTGTGAATTCGTTTAATTCCAATTCTTTTTCAATTGACTACTAACCAGATTATAACAAACACTTCACTGAATGGTCAAAACCTGGTAGAAATTAAGACCTTCTACACTTAAGACCCACAAACATTTGAATCAGAATGCAAAATGTTACAACAACTTTCCATTGGCAAGATTGAAGAAATATTTGGAAGACAGAATGCTGTCATCGAGTACTGTGCTAATGTTAAAGTTTAGGTTTTGAAGAATTCTGGGCTAGGTTTCCAAGACATAAATTGGCCACCGCAATTGATACTGTATGCCCATTTACAAGTAAACTTTTCTCAGAGATTTGAGGTGACGAGTTAAAAACAAATGCATGAAATCCTTTGCTGTGGGAGAAAATCTGAAAACACTTTTTAATGTAGTTTATTTCTTCATATTCTGTTTTTCTTTTGTGTGTGGTGTTTACAGAAAGGGCAGTTTTGGTTTTTCAAGATGAATACACAATGTGCTTATAAAGTTAGTTGGCTTATTCAAACAACTTCATCAAGAAAGCTTTGTTCTGTAGAGCCATGAGGTATGACTCTCACACAGATCTTGGAAACGGACAATGGCAATAACAATGTCTCATAGTGTTATCTGACTGGAAGTGTCTTTTTTTCAGGACATGAGGCCTCTGCGAGCAGGAAGATGCCAGTACTATACAAGTGGCAACGGCTACATTTATGAGAATTACTTTGCCTCTGTAAGATGAATCTCTGTTATATATTTTAGTTTAAATTTATTATTAGTAGAAGTGATATGTGATATTTGTAATTTGTGATATATATAAAGGACTTGAGATTCACAAGACATCCATAAGTAAAAACAAGTACAAAGTACAAAACAAGTACAAAAACAAGTATTTTAATCTGTGAGTCATTTAGCACTTTTTAATGGATTTTGTTTTTCTTGGTGCAGGTTCTCTTTTTTGCAGTTTCTTTTCCAACGTGAACTGAAACATGTATCTAGAGATGCTCCATTTTATTTTACAAATGCTGTTATTTCTGGATGTTTTTTTTAATTACATGTAATGAGGAACAGCAGTAACAAAAATAGCTAAATGAGCTGTTCTTAGATTGAAGGTGAACAGAAAAATAGCACATTGAATTAAGCAGTGAAAGAAAAGGTACAGTACATGTACTGTAGCAACTGAAAATTCAGTGCAAATCTGCCCTGTGGAACAAACAGCAATACATCAGACTGTTCAGACCTGAAATTCCTTGGCATGCTTGAGATACTGTACCACACAGGTTTGGGCAGCTACTGTACCTTTTATACGTAACTTTCTTAATGCATGTAAAAGTCTTCCAGTATGGACCAGCTAACATCAGACAATGAGAGACCAATGAAATATGAAGAGACATATGAAATGTTTTTTTTTGCCAGTGGCACTGGTATTTTGAAACTCATTGCTATTTTGATCACTTTAATAAATTATAGCACAACAGAACATGTTTTTACAAAAGTGCTTATCATATCCCTTTTCACTGAATGTTGGCTTACAAATTATTTGGGAAAATCCTGGAGTTTTTCCTCTTTGAGCCTGTTTTTAGTCTGTTTCCTGTTAAAACTCCAGGTGCCTTGTCAGGGGCTGACGGACTCCTGCAGCCTTAAAGTGCGAAGTGGAACCTGCTACTGCTGTGACCTGTATGACTGTGCTAAGTGAGTGTGTTTCATAAACAACGAGCGTAGAAAGCTCCTACCGGGAAATAAAGCAATTAACACACAAAACAAGGATTGCAATGACAGAAAAAGAGCAACAACATTTCAACATTCAAACCTCCTGAATATTTAACTTAAAATATTTTAATTCTTTCACTACAGAAACAAAGGCATGCTTTCATCATTCCTGCTCAGTACTACAGTTAGACACCCACACAATCAAGAGACTCTATACTTGCATCTAGGTAGGAGAGAATTGTAAGTGAAATCAATCGTCACAGAATGGGAGTATGCATACGTACACACCTCATTTTCCAAACACCCTGACATTGTGGTGGCTTGCACACCTCTGAAACCAAGAAACATGTCTCGGTCCTTCACCTTAATCTTTTTTGATATAAATGAACCTGTAATAATTACAGCCCTGGAGTCAGAAGAGCCTTCCATGTTGAAGAACCTGCTTGGCTCAGCCAGTTTAAACACCTGTTCAGACTGGCAGGTCCTATTGTCCAGAGTTAACAAGTTTGAAGCTGGGTCACGTCATTAGCAAACTCCAGGATCCCCTAGATATATTAATTCACGGAACAAAAGCATTAGTTTGACAAAAAAAAGAGCCTAGAGTGTATTGCTACTGCAACTGCAAAATAGTTTTCAAGTAAACTTTGGAGTGTGATTAAAGAGATTGTAACATAGATGGGTTCAGTAATCCCTCTAATCAGAGATCCTTTAAAAAAGCTCCAGTTGCAATAAAGGAGACTTTTACAGACATAGAAACGATAACTTTTTAAATATCTTTAGTAACATATCATATCAGTCTGTAATATTCTGCAGGTGCAATTCTGTAATGGCTGTAGCTTACAGTGTGATGCTGGCCTGGAGCACTTCCACTTTGCAGCTTGCATGTTCTGCCCGTGTGCCATCTCTGAAAGGGATGATGGCTACCTCAACAGGTGATCTGAATTGTTGCTGTGCATGTTTCTTGTGATGGAGCTGTCTTGTCCTGGGTGTAGTTCTGACCTTTGCCCTTTCCTTTTTGTTGCAATTCTTGCCAGGAATAAGGGCTTTCTGATAATGGATGGATATCTACAATATACTGTATACTCAGACACAAATAAAGATATAATACATATACTACTAATGTAATTACTAACACAGTACTTTGGATGTTACCATTAAAAAGATGGAAGCCAATTATTCTGAATTTTAGCATGCCCAGCTTATTTACTTTTGTGATGAAGTTTCCAAGATTTTAAGGGAACATTTTAGGTGACCTTTCAAGACGTTTATCTAAAGTACCCTGGAGGATCACAGACTCCAAAATGAGAAAACATTTGGGAAATGAGAACTCTGAAATGAACTTCCTTTTCCTTAGGGAGCCGCAAATGTTTGGCTCAGAAAAAATCTTCACTGCAATCTCAGTCTCTTCCATATCACTGCTTTTGCATATTTGTTTTTTGTGGAATTCAGATTTAGGACATTTCAGTTTCACTGTTACTTAAAAAAAGCAGATGAGATAGATTTTTATCATTATAATGCATCCATAGCTATATACTGTAATATCTGCTTAGCAGAATGCTATAAATGCTGTAAATATTATATTAGCACATTAATAATAATAAACTTTATATTATATAGTGATTTTAAAAGTAACATCTAAAAGCGCTTTACAGTAGGTGGAAAAAAAGTTATAGGGATATCATATTCCAACATGACTATGTGAGGAACACGAGCAGTTAGAAGTGAAGCAGAAGATATGTGGTCATTAGTAAATGAAGCTGAGAGGCACTAATGAAAAAAAGCCTTTCTTTGAGTCTGTATTTCAATGCACTCAGGGTAGGTGTCTCTGACATCCTTGAGGATAGAAATATAGAGCTTTGGAGCAGCGCAAGAGAAGGCCCTGTCATCCGTAGAATGTAAGAGAGCTTGAGGGACAAACAGTCAGATGAACAAAAGCTGCAAGGTGGGGAGTAGACAGATAATAAATCAGATTCTGAGGAGCCAAGCCGTGTAAGGCCTTATAGGTGAGCATGACGATTTTGTAATCGACTCAAAACCTGATAGGAACCCAGTGCAAGGACTCCAAGAAGGCGTAATGTGATCGCTTGCACGTGCGCTGGTCAGGATTCTTGTTTTTCTGAGGAAAGCAAGACAGTGAAGAGAGAGCAGTATCAGCAAACCTCTTCTGGTCAACTGCTCACCAGCTGCAAAAACTTACAGGACATAATGTTGAAAGGGTGTCAGACAAGGCATTCTATATCAAAATGTAGGGATGCAAGAATCACAGCGCAGTGCAGTGAAGGTTTAGATAAGTTTAATTTGTGACAAAAATGGCCATTTCTGGAGAACACATGTACAAGTGTATCCCCCCCTTTGTCCTGAATTACAGCAGTGTTACAGCGAGTTTTATAGTCTGTGTACAGCTATGGTCACCTTATGTCAATGGAGTGACCATTACCACTCATATTGGAATCATAGAAATTATTTCACTTATGGCACAGTGTCTCTTCTCGATAATGTTATCCCTGCCTTTCAATAACTCCTGTGGTGTGACATATAGCAGGTGTCTATTTAAAATGCACTGAAGCCTGGTCAGAAGTAATGACCTCAGGCCAGTGTCAGTGTCAAGATTTCTACAAAACAGAACGGCCTAGTGATCAGAAACAGTTAGTTCAAGGTAAGTGTGAAACAAATGAGTCATTTAATTATCACAAAAAGAGAAATAAATCTGCAGGTAACCGCATTAATTAAACACCAAAGATGATCTAACCATTGCAAAGTGAATATATTTTATATGAAGGGCGACATGGTGGCACAGTGGTTAGCATTGAACCAGGTGGGGCCTTGGGTTCAATTCTAGATGGATTTCCTTTGTTCTCTCCATGTTTGTGTGCGTTTCCCCAGGTGTTCCCATTTCCTTCCACAGTCCAAAGACATACTGGTAGGTTAATTGGCTTCTGGGAAAACTAGTCCTGGTGCGAGTGTGTGTGTCTGTGTCTCCTGCCTTGTGTCTGTTGCTTGCCAGGATAGGCTTTAGCTCCCCTCCTATCCCGAATTGGAGGAAGCAGTTAGAAAATGGAAGGCTAGATGAAATATAGATAGCCTGAAATATCATATTTATTTAAATAGGCTTTTGGTTGAGAAACTTTTGGAGAACTGAGAAGTGTGAAACATCAAACACTTTTAGTCTTTCAGAACAAAAAGAAGAATGCATGATTCACATTTGCTTTAATTAAGAGGCTAACCTGTTAAATATATTTTCACAGTGGGGGATATTTAAATAACCATTATGAGTTTGTGGGTGTGAAGAGCTGCCAAGACGTCATGTCGCTGTATGCAATGATCTGGTTACTGACTGCACTGAATCTGTCGGCGTTCGTCCTGGGAATACTGACAACTGCAGTCCTTGGCAGCATTAAAGATGTGGTAAGCAAGGTTGATATGGTACACAATATATTTTCATTATATTGTCGACCGATGTGGCATCAAGATGTTCTTAAAAAATATATTTTGTGAATAATATATACTGTACATTGCTATAAACATTAGAAACATGGTGGTTAACAGCTTTTTAATATATTTCTGCATAAGCATTACAGGACACATGCAACCCAGTTAGATAATTTGGCTTATTGGATTGATTGTTCTCTTATTGGAATGAACTCTATACACTATACAATCCTTTGCGATTCTTCATGAGGCTAGGGCTCCTTAATTCCTAAAAGTAATCCAATACTATACTGTATGTCTCCTCAGTTCCTCACTTCAGGCCCTGTCCGTTTTAATTAGTATCATGCAAGCAGCAAGATGAGGTCAGAAATAAATAGAAAATAGAAGTAAAGTGGCACAACATTGAAGAAAATGTTCTAGTGAGAAAATATTGGTGGAAAAGTAGCTATTCTTTTAGATTGGAAGAGGTTTGTCAAGCTCATTCTCTGATTTTGCACTTTGTCTTTGTCAGAAGGGATTTGCTGTGAGTCCTGATATAAGAACGCAGCTTCAAGCTTTTCACAGCAGCACAGATTGCCAGGACAGCAACAGTGCCCTTTCTCCCACTGCTCCATTGATACAGGACCACGGACGGAACGCACTATACCCAGTTAGTTTCTTTTTATTTTGTTAAGCCTTCCATGCCTTGATTTGTTGAATCAGGTTTTCTTAGATGAAGGTGTGTGGATTTTCCTAGGTGAAGATATCTGTTAAACAATAAAGTTAACAGCATGCATTCCTGCACTGCAGCCCCAGGAATAAAAAATCATTTGAGGTTAAATAAAACTTGTACTGGAATGGGATGTACTTGGGCCTGGGGCTCAATTCTGACCTGCGGTGCTATCTGTGTGGGTGCTCCCATTTCTTACGACTATTCCAAAGACGTCTTGGTAGGTTAATAGGATTCTGGGAAAATTGGCCCTGGGTGTGTGTGTGTATCTGCGCAGCAATGGTCTGGCGTCCTGTCCAGTATATACCTTGCCTTGTGGCCACTGCTTGCCAGGACTGGCTCAGGCTCCCCTTAACCACTGAATTAGATGTCACTGTCAGACTAAAGACCTACTGTACAGTAGATTGGTACAGGTGATGTTTTACCTGGGGCTGAGCCTGTGATAATTATAGCATCACAGCTGATTAAGCCATGAAAGCCAGCTTTTCCAAATCAAGAAAACCTAATGCTATAATATAAGCTGACTTTAAACAGGCTGTTTCATTTATCTTAATGCTCTTCCATTTCTTCCAGAACACATCGCCATACTATGCAACCTCGGACACAGCAGATGGCACTCAGCCAATCTCCTCTGACGCTACTAGGACACAAATCAATCCGCCTCCTTTTGCACCTCTGTATAACCTCCTCCATTGCAGAACGCAGGGTTTCACTGGGTGAGAATAAGCTCACCACCTCGACGAGACTTGTTTCCTCCTACATCATATTTTCATTTCCTGTTTCCAAACAATGCAGAAAGTTCCCCTTATGCTTGATGTTTTGGTAATGAGCCATTAAAGGCTCTCTATATTTTACAGGAGAAATATTACAGGCAGAATAGAGAACAGTCCAAGAATAGAAAGGCGTAACATTTTAAGTTCACTTAATTTAGATCCCAAATCACTTTGCCATTGATTTGTGGTTGATACCTATGCTTATAAACCATTATGATTCTTGTTTCCTGGAACGTAGATGACAATGTTGATGTTAAAGCAATTTTTTTAAATGTTATTTTGACCCCATTTTAGTCTGTACAGAAGATCTTGCCTAGTTATTTTTTCACCTTTCCTAGTTGGCAGGACATTTTCAGCAAATGTTTTTTTTATGGGTACTTGCCACCAGTAAATCCAAAGTAGCAAACATTGTCATCTGTGAATAATTGTACTTGATTTAGAAATTAGCGAGATTTTATGTAAATTCTTGTACATAATTTGTAAATATTATGTAAGTTTTATATGGCCACTGAACCATAGCGGTTGGAAATGCTGTTGACATTTGCTAATTGCAGGGCTCCTTGTTACTGATGTGTATTTATCTACTGCCTGATTTTTTTAGCTATACATTAGGTATTTTGCCAGTGAAGCATTAAACAAAGTCAATGTATTTTGCAGAAAACATACTTATTTTTGTATAACATGTCCTCATTTTATAAAACGTGATGTCTTCTACAAAAAGGTGTTATAAATGTCTAATTGCCAAAATATTGACAGGTCCAATGGTTTTGGTTTCTTAAATTATTGGGTGTGTTCTTAGCACTGTCACGAAGAGCATTCTGCCTATGCTTGGTGTGGTGTGCTTGGTGTCATAAAAAGTACTGTATGAGCACAGCAGGCTATGGTCTGGCAAAAAGTGAAATGAACCTGGAGGACAGAAGGAAGCATTAGTTTTATTGGATTAAATTTCAAGAGCCCAGTTAAGCAACTGCATACTGGGCAGTTTGGAAATTTCTAGGGAGAGGAGAAGCCTGGCACTTCCACATGACCATTTGCCTCCCAGCATACAGTAACTTGTACACTTGCATAAAAAGACATGATGCAATTAACTAGTTTGCGTTTTGCAATTCTCAGTTTCTTGGAAAAATAAGCAGCACTCAGTTCCCATACCACTGCTTTGTGATTTCTCTGTAGATTTCTGCAGTAATCAGACATTTGTCATGTAACCATGGTTATGTTTTTCTTCATATGAGGCCCACTTCTATAGATCACAGTATCGTATATCACATACTGTATACATTTTAGATACACAATAAAATATTATACTTGAAAAGCCACATTTTTTAATGTCAGAGGAAGACGGACATATGTAGTTCTCTATGAATGTTTCGAGCTTTTAACCTATTATTTGTATTTTCATGGATTTTGTTACATTTCTTAATTTTACCTTAACTTCTAGTTCTTCTGATACTCTTTGTTATTCCTTAATCATTGTAAAATCCTTTGAGAGGGAGTCCGTCTTGGTGAGATATTCTACCAAATACACTTCAATTGACTGAAGATAAGCTTGGAATATTGTTTCATCAAATTCTACTTGTTTCTGACCAATTTCTTTCATTAGTGTTCAAAATAATCCAAAAATCCAAAAAGAACAAGACACTTCACTGGAATCTTAACAGTTACCCTGCTAAACTTTGAATGCTTTTGACTTTTAACCAAAATGTGTTATACTGTACATATAAAGATAGCTTACATTATCGGAATTTGAATAGGATTTTACAACTGAGCTTTTGTAAAATTGATTATCAATGGTTATAGAGGAGATAAACATTTAATGTTTATGTGTCAGCTTCAGAGTAGGTATGCCAAATTATATATTTTTTTTCAAAGACATTATTAAGATACTGCTATTGTAATTTACAATAACATGCAGATTGTATTTAAGACCTATTTTTTTAAACTGCTCAAAGTGCATATTTATAGAAATATGTAAATTATTTTGAATTAATGCAGAGAAATGAAGGTAATCTGTTTCCATTCAACAGTGCATTTTGTGTACAGAAAAACAGATGTCGGTAACATTAGGGAGTAAAGGGCAAATGGACCTTTGTAGATATAGAAGATAAAGCTTATCTGCTCAATAGTTTATGATGTTACTGCACATATAACATTAAAACATTAAAACAAGTTTAGGAATGTAGATCTAGTATTAAAATAAAAGCAGCTGCTCTTCTAAAGTTATTGCTGTTAGGCAAAAGTCTGGTAATGTTTCCACATAAACTTTATCACCGAGGCAAAGCTTTTTTATGAAGGAAGATTTTCAGAGGCACACTGAGGACTCTGTTCACTCTCAACGGCTACAGAATATTTACTTCTTCCAAAAATGGCAACATTTTCCTGGTAAATTCAAAAGGATTTCTTAGACACTATTCAATAACCTTCTGTGGTTACAACATGTCCCCTCACAAGAGTTTTTTCAAACTCAAACTAAGGTTTATCACAAAGTTATAAAGTTATCACAAGTGCTTTATTCCAGTTCATGTCATTGCAAGGTCATATTGCACACTCACATTATTACTCATTACTAATATCTCCTGCAGTTAGTTGTAGACATACTGTATAATCTCAAACCATTGAGCTAGAAAGTGCTTTTCTATTAGTCTTGAAACTTGCAGAACTGTAATGACATTATACATATGTATGTTATTATAAAGATAGTGGTACTTTAACAGTGTTAAATTAAGGGAGCTTAGGTGTACACAGTTCTTTTGTACACATACTATGTATACCTTTTCTAGTATCACAGTGTCCACCTATCATAGAAAACTGCAATGTGCTCACTTCCCATCTCCCAGATCCAGGGTGGAAGGACAACTGTGGGATCTGATGCCCCCGTGCTTGACTGATGCTTTATCAAGGTCCACTGGATTTCCCTGGATCTTCACTTGCATGCAGCCATGAAAATATGAGGAGGCCGCAGCAGAGCAGCTCTCTGTGGGAAAAAAAAAACAACAGAATACCAAAAGCTTAGTTTCTCATACAGCCACACAATACAACACACTTATGAAACATAGACTTGGGAATTCTGTTTGAATTACACTAAGACGTCTTACTTCTTTTCATACATGGGTACACATATGTAGGCATTTACAAATATTAGGAAAAAACGTATTTTTAAACATGTTCCTCTGAAACCGCAGGAAGGTTTAAAAACATTGTGAGGAAACACGGTTCAAATAACATCTTGGCTGTGAACCCGAGTTGTCTTCTAATGATTCCTGATGGCTGAGAAAATCAGACAGGTTTTAAAAGCTTAAGCATTAAGACAGAAGGAGGTGGACATAAACATTTAATCTTCTGATTTCCTTTCTCATCAGTTCATACAGTATCTTGTATCTGCCCATTGAAGTACCTGGAAGTCCTCCTAGAGAGACCATAGTCCCTGGCTGTTTCCATGCAGATTGCAGAGCTTCAAAGCTTTCGCCAGAAATATTCCACATCTTTTCATCTGTTCCCCAAATCATATTCAGCTTCGTCTCGGTTAGTGTAAGCTGCTGGAACTGACTCTCACCAGAGCACAGACTTGGAGGGGAGTTAAGAGAACCAGCAATCCTGTTTCCAATTGTAAGGATTAAATTCTAGGAAAGAAAGTTTTAGAATAAACATTTAATTGCAAAAATCACCTTGACTTTCTCCTGAAGGGATCTGCTTGATTTCTACTTTCTGTCAGCTGCAATTTGTAACCCAATATTCAATATGTAGCTCATTTAGGCTACAATTGACCTGTCATAAACAATCTGTGAAAAATGATGCAGGAAATGTGGCTTTTTGTATTAAATGTATTTATGATCTATTATAAATTATTTCTCAGAATTGTTCCCTTCTACTAGTCAGGAACATCAGCTTCAATTCTATTACTTTCACAAAAAACAGTTTTAAGTTGTAGGAAAGTCAATTCCTGAATCAGACTAATATCCATATTTTAAAAGTATCAGATGTGCAATAAATTTGATGTAATTCTAGCATTGTGGTTAAACCATTTTGCTTAAACTACATTAAACTAATGAACAATTCTCATAATAATCAACAAGATGCAACTTTAATGAATGTAATTTTATCTACTATGGAAACTGAGATGAAAAATTCTCTCAATCTTTTGGCATGTCTGTTGTCATTTCTATGCCTAGTCTGCTACAAAGGCTGTATACAGTACCATCTAACAATGATGGCTGATTTCACTCTCCGCCCAGGGTGGTATATACAGTAGAATGAGCACAGTCCTAAACCAATCTTGAATACATTTTGCCTTTATTATCAATGATCATATCTAAAGTTTCACTCTGTGTAACAGTGTATAGGACTGCCAAATATGCCCTAAATCAACCATATGTGTGTTGGGGTTTGGCATAATTCAGCAATAAATGTTGAACGTGTGTTTCCTTAGCCTCACATGAGGAAAGCTTTCTGTTTGATTTTTTCATCTGTTTGCAATAATTCTTACAGAATGACGCTGTACTATGGGGTGGTTAAGTAGGAAAAAGCCCTGCTCTAAGCTATTTTCCACTCTGCCTTTCTTTAAACCAGAGCTGCAGTATTCATCCTGAGATATCAATCAACGAACACTTGTGCCCGAACACAGGAGTTTCACAAGGTTTCACAAGTTTTTTGTTGGGACAAGCAGTGGCGTTTTACACGGAGAAGGCAGAAGGCCCTGCAGTACCTTTGTTGTTCGATCCATGGAGACGGAGAAGGAAATGTTATTTTGGGAATCCACAATAGCAAACAGAACACCATGATCCACCACAGGCCGGAACGCCAGCTCCACCACTAGATTCCAGCCCTCAGCGTCAGGGTCGGTGGAATTTGAAAAGAACACTGTCAACAATATAAAATACAGGAGAGCTCAGAGCTTTTCTTTCACAGAGGACAAAAAAAAGACTTCCCCTTTCACAGTAATTAGATCCTAATGTAAGTAACATAACCCATAACTCTCCTTAATTGTCAGTGTTGAAATTCAAATTGCAGGTTTTCAGGACCTCCAGTGTTTTTCCACATATGGTGGCGGTGCACTGTGGGTTCCCCTAGAGTGTTACTTCTTGAAGACGTCGTGCTGCATCAATGCTATAATGTTTTCCATATAAGCCAGAATTCAATGTTCAACAAGCTTTCAGTTAACAAAAATTGTTAACAAAAATTAATTGAATGGCTGAGGTTATAATAGTGTTTATCATTTCCAAGTGTAAACTTAACATTTTTAATAGCAGCTCTAAATGTAGGATAGAACGTCATGTTGGCTTATTGGGTCTTGCTGGCTTTTCTCCTTTCTTAACAAGAGCCTAGAGCTTCAAGTACATAGTGGGTGAATGAAGTGAAACAAACAAAAAAAGGCTACTATACCTTGAGATTCAAACACTCCAGCTCCAAACCCAGGGAAATAGGTTCCTGGTGCAATGTTCTGCCAGCACCTCTGACTTTCTGAAGACTCCAGGAGTTGCTTGAGAATACCAGCATCCTTTTTAACCCAGTTCCAGTTTCTAAGGCAGCCGTCAAAGTGAGGCTTGAACTAAATTGGGAAAAGAAGCTGACTTCAGTATCCTGTGCTCAAAGCAATACAGAAAATCAGACCATTGTGTTGAATTAGTTGAGAAAGGTGCTTTAAGGGATTTAAGATGCCACGCAGATTGCAGGATCTTGAAGTATAAAAAAAGGTCCAGTTCTAAAAAGGAGAAGGGGATTCTATTCTTCTTTAGAAGTCTTTTTTACATTTAAACCTTAGCACAGATTAGAAATTGAAAAGCTTTTCTTAAACACTGTCCTTACAACCAATCCACTGGATTGCCACAGAGAAAAACATTCTTAAATGCAGTGGAAGAAGTGTAAAGATAGGATATTATTTATTTCCCCTCTATCAACACCTTTTAAATTTCGTTATTATAAATAATAAGTGGTGCCAAAAATGAGAGGGTTTATAAAGTGCACCTTTGTTTTTTTTGTTTTAAATAGAAAACCTTGATCAGTTACTACAAGGCTCAGCAAACATCAGAAACTACCATGAAATACGTATGAAAATGCTTGGAAAGGAATAAAGGACATATGTATTGCATTAGCCTAAAGTGATTTCCTTTTGTTTTGGTAAAAAAATATGCCCCCTTCTCCATCATAATTCATCCCCAGTCTTCTTCGTTAATTGTCAATCAAAAATAATGTACTGAAACACAAGCCACGAGGTTTCACTTCTTGTAACAAAACTAGAATGAGAACCCACTGACAGCGAACCGACAAACATCAGTCTACGGCAAAGCGTGGAAAACCATTTTATTAACTTCAAGCTGGACATAAAGGCAGTTGAAAAGAGTGTAAAGTGAGCTGACAGTTATTTAAAATTTCATCCAGCCAGCTGAGTTTGTTTGGCAAGGGCCAGTGGAATGTCAGTAGGTGGTTCTGCATTCGCTGATCCTGTTTTGCTGAAACTTACTGCCAGTGTCATGCTGCTGTTGGGAAACAGTGCCCCGATAGCAATTCGAAGGAAGCCAGCTTCCCTGTTTATATCTGTGTGCAGCCCGGGCTCAAACACTTTTAAGACCCTTTCATTGCCCACTTTCACAATGACACTGGAGTCCTGTTTTAAAACTGTTATCTGTAAAGACAAAAAAAAACACCTTCAAGTGCTTTGTAATGCAAGAGAAAAGAAGATGATTAAAGTAACCCGTGATCGATATTGGGCATACAAGACAGGAGGCTGTGAATCTCTGTTTAACCAGTACACACACTGAATTCAGATTAAAGCTGGAATATTTTTTTAAACTGCATATGACAACATTTTGAGATTCCTTGTACATTATAAAAGTCAAAACATAACCTGACCAGTGACAAGGAAAGAGTCTATGTAAGGATACATTTCTCTGTTGCAGATATTCAATGACAGACAATGGATTCCTCACAAAAATAACCTTTAAAAATCAAGTCCCCCTGTGATACTCTTACTGAAATAAAAAAATACTACAACATAAGCACAGCATAGTGAAGACATATGGGGAAGTATCAAAAAAACTGTGGGAAGCTAAAATATAAATGCATTTTAAATGCATGGAAATACTCCACAAATACCCAGCTGATTTACCATGGTAAATTGAGGGTGCTATCACGCACATTTTTCCTAACATACTGTACTTTAAAAGCTAGGCAATAGATCTTGATTTGCTTCTGATGGAAATGCAAAATTGAAATGTAAAGGGTATTGAATGTACTGTAAAGTCTTAGCAAACTTTGATTTGCTCAGTTAGAGGGAGTCTGGAAAGGAGACAGGAAATTGTGTAAATTTATCAGGGGACCATGACTGTTTAACAGCATATGTTTTAAAATAACCATGTGCCTTAATACAGGAAAGAAAAAAAGCAGCAGCAGAGCTCAATATTAAAAATATGGGCTGTGGCTGTTGGTTTACCTTTCTCCACTCTCCATCGCTGATATTGAGCCCCATGTCGACGGTGGCCCGAGCAACATTGTTTTGAATTTGAATTTCCAGGAGGTTCTCATGAAGTGCTAAAAGAAACCAATTGTGTTCCCCTCCCATGTCACCGAAAAAGATGATTCCCTCAGGATCAAACGTGCGCACCTCAAACTCAGACTCAAAACTAGGGAGAAAAAAAGAAAGGGGAGCTTTAATAAAAGTTTATATATTTTAAATTATCCCATTAAGTGTATGACAATATGTACTTTTTCTATGATAAAATGCAATAAATTCCAAATCTCCATTTAAATTGTGGGTATTTAACATAAATCTCATTGCAGGTTTTTAAAGTACTTTACCTTTGATAATATTCAGAGTGGTTTGCCTAGTCCCTTGCAAAAGTATTCACCCCCTTTCCAACTCTGACCTATTTGGTTGAATTGTAATATATATATAATTACATTGGAGTTTCATATTATGCTTTTTGATTTTTATTGGACATTTTGACGTTTAACTTCTTTCAACCCAAAAGTGTTTATTTTAAACAATCTCATTTTCATTAAATATATTTTTAAAATTGTGATTCAACAAAATAGGACATTACTGGAATGATATTGTGTTGCTAAAGCAGCATGTGAAAATACAGTGAGCAAACAAAAAAGTATTCTGCTTATTTGTAATGTGTTTTTGCAAACACAATTTTGCTGGATACTACACAAAAAAATACTTGAAAATATATTGAGTTTAATAAATACCTAGTTATTTCTGAGATCTTAAACTGCAAAACAGGAACTGTCCCAGAAGTGCTGTTACCAGTGTAGAGAAGATGGGAAGGTTTCATTTCATCAAAAGGAAAGCAGGAATTCTCGGCCTTAAAAGGACAGAAAATGTCCAGTTTCAAATGAATTTATTTGAAGAATATTTAACAAATTTTATATCTCAGCCACATGTTTCTGTTTTACTGTCTTGCCCCCTGTGATATAGTTTAATTAAGATTTCATTGACAAAAACAGTTAATGCATACAGTAAAAATTTATGTACATTATCTTTGTGTCTAGATGATAAAGGTGTGGTTGCAAACTAATGGATGAGGTACTTCTTCTGAAAGTATTATAAACAGAATCAAGCTTACAGCAAAAATTGAACTTCTCTATCCTGTCAGCCCATCTGATACAACAAGAACATCAAAGACACATTATTTTGACTCATCCTTGGTATTTCAGGGTTAGATGGCAAATGTATGCTTACACTACCTCTGTTTTTTCTTTGGGTAGGTCAGTATTTTTACTTATTATAAAGCAGCACTTAAATGAAGAGCTGTAGTAGGAAATGATGTCCAAAGGCAGGACTTTATCATAATTCAACTTTTTATAATTAAAACTGCTTACAGTACCTGAGTGATTTGTGATGTTTCCAGGCTGCCAGCTTCTATGCAATTCTCCCACTGTGCGAAGAGCACTAGAATGAAAGCTTGAATTAAAACTTCCATTGCCTGCTTGTTTCTGAAAGCTTGACAGTGCCCAACTTAAAGCCCTTCCTTCTGTGACCCTGTGCCTTGTGTTATTCCTCTTTGGGGCTTTTGTGCGTCTAAAAGCTTCTGAAGAAGAAACAGTCTTATCGTGGAAATTTGAGAAGGCTTGATAGAGTACTGCACTGTCTTTGTTCTTCTCTCGTAGACAGCATTGGTACAGTTGTAAATCCACTGCAAGTTTCACAATGTTAGACATAATATTTACAAAGAAAAAACTCAAGACCACAAGGCAAATTCCTTTGTGACACAGTTTCTAAGACCATATCTTGGGAAAAGGTCATCACGTCCTTGTTAATATCACCATCATAAAAAAAAGGCAATTTAGAAAACTGAAAATATCAGTAGTGGACTAGTCATAGGAGACACTGTGTAACTTAGATTTATGATGAGTATATAGGAACTAACTGCTTGACAGGAGGTAGAAGAATTTTTAATATCCATATTAAATTAACAAGCATTTTGAATTAATCAGTTAAAAAAAGTCTTAACCTGTGTTTTCTATTGCAAAGTATTCATACATGAGTTTGGGATCCAAGCATCAAAATACTGAAGCAAAGGTCTGGTCTTGTTCCACTGTCTCTGCATTGACTGCCACTAAGACCTGATTATAACAAAGTCAAGTTGTAATGTACATTGAACCGGCCAGCAGCCATATCACCCTGCAACTCACAACTGGCAACCCACTGAAGCTAAGCAGGCGTGAGCCTGGTCAGTACCTGGATAGGAGACCTCCTGGGAAAAACTAAGGTTGCTGCTGAAATAGGTGTTAGTGGGGCCAGCAGGGGGAACTCACCCTGCGGTCCATGTGGGTCCTAATGTCCCAGTATAGTGACGGGGACACTATACAGTAAACAGGTGCCGTCCTTCAGATGAGATGTAAAACCAAGGTCCTGACTCTCTGTGGTCAATAAAAATCCCAGGGTGTTTCTCGAAAAGAGTAGGGGTGTAACCCAGGTGTCCTGGCCAAATTTCCCATTACCAATTATGGCCTCCTAATAATCCCCCTCTATGAACTGGCTACATTACTCTGCTTTCCTACCCACTGATAGCTGGTGTGTGGGGAGCGTTCTGGCGCACTATGGCTGCCGTCGCATCATCCAGGTGGGGCTGCACATTGGTGGTGGTGGAGGGGATCCCCATTACCTGTAAAGCGCTTTGAGTGGAGTGTCCAGAAAAGCGCTATATAAGCGTAAGCAATTATTATTAATTATCGAAGGTTATTCTCTGAAAACGATTGTCAATTTGTCCCAAGCAGGCTTCATTCTGGCAGTGCCAGGGCTTTCTGCTGCTTTAGCTGTGGGATTCTGCCAGAAGGACTCCCACTAGTATTCCTGTCTGCAGGATGTCTGTTTTTACACGTTGTACAGTGTTAAGGGATGGTTTGGCATGAGGATGCAAAACACATATCAGTCCATCCTGTACTGTTTTGCAAAGGTTAAGGAAGAAGAGGAAGGGTAGTTATTACTGTTGGAGATTGTAGCAAGATGTATGTCCATACAGCATGGATACATTCATACAGAGAGATTTTTAAAAAGTTTTTTTTTTTGGAAGGTCCTCTGCTTTTTATGTCTTTTCAAATGAGCAAAGTTTTCTCTAGCAGGTATGAATAAACATCGGTTCAAGACCCAGCACCAATCCTTTGCACAAATTAATTGCCCTGCCATAGCCTCTCTGCTGTTCAGCTACGTAGCGTGAACATTGAGTTACATTTTGACCCCAAGGCAAGGTCTGAGTCCTGATCTTTTTAAAGAACAGCTTGAGAAACTAGGAATATTAATTTCACAAACCCTTGCCTATAGCAATAAGGTCTTTCCCTTCGGTTTACTCTACAAAAATTGTATGTGAAGGAATATGTTCCAATCCACCATTTTTAGCTGTGGAATACATAATTTTGTTTTACCTGACTATTGTCATCATCAAATGTGAGGATTTTTGTATTCTGAATCAATGATCAACAATCTTTTGGATATCAGCATCTTACTACGAGATGAGACAAACCACATATTCGGCCACGCTTCCAGAAAGGGATGACACTGGGGTTAATGAACAAATTAAGCAGGACGTTTGAGTGGACCTGTCTGTCATGCGATGGACTGTGGTGTCCCCATCCAGGATGAATCTTCGTCATCACATGGGAACTTTTTAAAGTTAAAGCCTTTTTAAAAAAGAACAGAAAACAATCAATCACTACACTCTTGTGGCATGTGAAGCTGCAAATCTGTGGATGTTATTTTACACTTTTCATTCACTGTGGATCTTGCTAATCAGGTATTTAAATGGGACACATAATTAAGCAAACAGGTGAACAAATACATTCAAACACTTCCCAAAACATGTGTTATGGCTTAAACTTATTTTTTGTGCAGGAAACAGATGGAAGTATTCAAAGCATTTGTCTTTAAAGCTCAGGCTGCCAGGCTCCAGACCTCTCTGGTCCCACTTGAAAACACCTTGGAAGCCCTGTCAGACATTATCCATTTGGACTCTTTCTGTGGTAAAAAAGGATTCAGTAAAGAATAAAACACCTCTTGCTGTACAGCATATGATGGGAGCCAGCTGACAGAAATAAATGTTTTTTTACCCACTGAGTGTAGATCTGAATGTATGTAAAAAAAGGTTAATTTGATGCTGAAAAGGAGAAAGAAGAAACCACATTTCCACTGTTGAGCCTTCTTCAAGGTATAGATGAAAAACGCTCAACAGCCAAAATATTGCATTTCCTTTTCAGGCAATGGACATTGACACAGCTCCCTACTCAAATTATTTAAATGTGTGCTCTGTTCAATTGTATTCTATTTTAATGTTCACATGGGTGTCTACACATATCAAACTTCTACCGGTGCTGTTTTGATAACTGTTAATGAATTTTAGCCTTTCATTGTGCATTAAGGTTTTCACTATGTAACCTCTAGTTCTTCTTACTTCCTTTGTCCTTCCTTAAAATATGTAACATTCATTCTCACATAACTTAGGTCAAGGACGAGACATTTTGTCTACAAAGATCCTGGCAAATGGAAAAATGTATAATTACTCGGAATACAACATTGAGAAAAGCCAACATTGAGTTAGATTAAGCCATATGGATTTAAAACCACTTGAAAACATCCACATTACACTTGTGTTTTAATTATGATACAAATTATTTTTACCTGGCCTTTAGCAAAAACATAGAATCTGCTTTTTGGAATACCCAGGCTTCATATAATGTATCGAGACTATCGTACAGCACATTAGATAAAATTGTCAAGCAACTTGGTAATTTAGCAGCTCTTTCATTTAAGTTCAAAATGTTTTCAGACCTGGACCCATTCCACCCAGCAGAATACCATCAGAAAATAAATAGAGATCGTGAACAAAAAATATCATGTGAGAGAGCTGTAGGACATCGTTATACGATTTCCTAGGTCCAGATAGACATTGCGTTTTCTAGAGATGATAAATGCATAGCTCATACCTTCGGTGACCGTATTCAAGACTGAGATAGTCTGTGGGAAGAAAAAACTCTTCAGTTGAAACGAATTTATCTGTCATGAAGCTGTCTCACGTGAAGGTGTATCACTGGCCATCGAAGGTTCATAGAACAGCTCCCAAACTTTCAGCATTAAAATATTGACTAAAAGTCAATGTCTCCCAGTGAAAGAAACGTGTGAATGTATTCTCTGCTGAAAATACTTTAGCTTCACAGTTTTTTTTCAGTATAATTCTTTTAAACAATATTCCATTAACAGCTTGAGAAGAAATTGAAAACCAGAAACATGTTAATATCCCAATATAAGGATCTATAGTGATTAGACACCTTCGTGCGTTCAGCCTTACAACTCAAAGTATAAAATGGGCTTGAAGGCATAATGAGGAATGGAGGCTGAGCAGAGCAAAGGCTGTATTTTAAATTTAATTGAGCAATGCACAGGCCTGACTCTACAACACCAAGGCCACAGAGAGTTTGCTGTTCAAAACACAACCCCAGGAGAAGGTATTGGGAGGAAAAAGGCTAAATGTGAATGTTTTTAGCTGCACGTGTCTCTCCATAAGCTACAGGGAACTGTCCTAAACCGACAGAAAAAAACTTGCATGACTGATGCAGTCTAGCACCTCAATTGCAGTGTTAATGTTATGCAGCAGCTCACTATAAGAAAGCCTGCGCATGTAGTGAACTACTGTGTGATCTATTCTATTCATTTAAACATTTCTGGGGCACTACTGTCACAAACTAGACTGGACCAGAGTTGTAATATTGACTAAAGTTGAAAAGGAGCCAAATTATTCTCCTTAAACAGACAATATGTCTCTCAACATACAATAAACAGTAGTTACTGAAAATGAGCACATACAGGTCTTTTTTGAAGAATGCATGTCACAAGAAAGCAAAAAAAAAAAGAAAAACAAGCAGGTTATCGTTGTGACCTTCATGATGTTGACTCCAGGAGTGAGATAAGGGGAAAGTCAAGTACACTTCACGAGAAACCAGACAAACTTTGTTTTTTATTTTGTTTTACAGTAAGCTTCTGTAAGCAATGATTTGTCTTACGTCAGTGAGAACAGATACCGTTGTTTATTTAAGTTGGAGTGGCATTCTCGGGTCATTTCCCAGCCCAATGTGAGAAAATATTTTTAAATTTTACTCCATGGAGTCACTCCACCCTGAGGTGAACTGCAAGATTCCTCAGAAGTATACAAAACGAAAAATGAGGATTATTGTAAATGCTACAGATTCACCTGCTGATTTTAGCTTTTCACATTAACCCACTTAAGTTTTATATATCCTAGACAGTAGGGCACCTGGAGATGAATATGAGCAAGTTGTTTAGTAGTGGTAGCACAGACTCAAGGCCCAAGAGAAGAAACAAAGTCCTTTTCATCTGAAGGTCAGGTGCAGGAAGATCTTTAGAAGCAACAATCTGACCCTCTGCTGCAGTTTTGAAAACCAGGACAGTTAATTCACTGCTAAAAACCTCACCTCAAAACCTTTGGATAACCTTTATATTTTATAGCAGATCTTGTTGTACCACAGTGCTATAGGAGACAGAATTGTCTCAGGATCTCTTATTCATACGACTGCATGATCTTACCTAAAATGCTTTGCTTTTTTTCCCCAACAAAAAGTAGCATTACGTGTTTAACCTTTGTCTCATCCGCCCACAGAACATTGTCCCAGAAGCATTGTGGAATATCCAGGTGGTCTTTCGGAAACTATTTTTGAGAGCAGTAGTTTCCTCCGGGTTGTCCTTCCATTAACACCACTCTTGGTCGGTGTTTTTCTTATAGTCGAAACATTAACAGAGACTTTGGCAAGTCCAAGAGATTTCTGCAGGTCCTTTGCCATTACCCTAGGGTTTTTTTCCCACTTCCTTTAACATTGCACGCTGCGCTCCTGCCATGATCGTCCTAGGGAGAGTGGCAACACTACTGAATTTCCTCCATTTGCAGACAATTATTGTGGCCTTTATAAATGCTTTTGTAGCCTTTTCTAGCTTTATGCATCTCTAAAATTATTTTTCTAAAACATCCTCTGATATTTATTTTGATCGGGGCATGTTTCACATGAACAGTTCTTTCTTGAGAAGAGCAGACTCTGTCACTAACCAACCTTGGTGTGCTTATTTTTTTTTTTACAGGGCAGGGCACGTCCAACCTACACCTCCAATCTCATCTCATTGCTTGGAACACCTGACTCCAATTAGCTTTTGGAGAAGTCATTAGCCTAGAGGTTCACATACTTTTTCCAACCTAGAGTGTGAATGTTTAAACGATGTGTTCAGTACTGACAAGAAGTATAATTGTTTGTTTGTTATTAGATGAAGCTGATTGTGTTTGTCTATTACTTTGACTTAATGTTAAGATCACATTTTTATGAGTAACTAATACAGAAATCCAGGTAATTCCAAAGGGTTCACAAACTTTTTCTTGCAACTGTAGATGAAGGAAAAACAGTGGTTTGGACTCTGGACTTGTATCTGCTAATTGCCGTTTCAAATCCAGGATGAGACACCTCTGTTGTTCCCTTGAGCAAGTTACTTCACTCGGAAGGTTTCAGAGTGAAGTATTCCAGCACTATAACTGGATACACATGCGAATGACTGCAGGGTCAAGTCTCTGCCAAAAAACGGAATGCTGTCGAAAAGTCTTAGATATTTTGCATTGCGCTACTCTTTTCGGTTTTACCGTCTTCAAACAAAAATCATTCTATAGCAAGTTACTGAAATGTAAACCTTTGTGGAGAGGAAGAAATTATGTCCAAGACGGGAAACCTCTGACAATACGATCAGAAAAATTGATGGATTGGTGTTATCTAGGGGGAGTTTGTGTTCCCCTTGTTTTTACCTCTGGGTGCTCCAGTTTCCTCCCACAGTCCCACAGAGACATACTGGTGGGCGACTGGGAAAACTGGCCCTGGTGCAAGTGTGTGTATCTGTGTCTCTACCTTACTCTGTCAAGTGTGTACCCCCACCTTGCACCCATTGCTTGCTGGGATAGGCTCCGTGTCCTCTGTGACCTTGAATGGGATGAAGCAGTTAGAAAAAGGATGGACTTCATGTTGTCTACTCATGTACAGTTGACCTTGTTTATAAGTATATAGGTTCATTGTTAAGTCCTGGAAGTGGTATACTGTCACAGAAAAATGTACAGATAAGTTCCAAACACAAACAAGTATTGTACTGGATGATGCTGATCAGTTACAATAGCTACCACCTTACAGTGAAATAGGTAATTCCTTTTGAAACAAGATGCATCACTGTAAAAATGTGGATGATGCATTTAAAGCAAAACAAAATCTTTGACATAGCAAAATCTAAATTTTCTAAATTTTTATTCTAATTTTCTGTATCAGACAACTTCTCAGCATTGTGAATTACCGTGCTAACTTCAAGGTTGAGAATGTATTTGGAGTATTGCCAAAAGTGGCCATTCCTCATGCAAAACTATAGGATAATTCAGTGGTTCTCAACTATTTCTGGATGACCCTGTTTTACTGATTTACATGCCACCTAATCTCGCAACTACTGCTGCCGATTGAGACCTTTAACTGATTCACTTCATTGTGTACAATTCTGCTTACAATTCTGGTTCTGCTTTCAGAAGAAAATGTGTACAATCTCTCCTTGTGTTAAGAGTCTGTTCCCTTTGTGCCGTCTAAACAACTCGTAAGACATGACCGGTTTATGCTTAACACAGAGGGAAGGACAGTATATCAAACACTTTATTCTTTTCTGCAGAGGGGCGTGTGGTAACAATTCTGCTAGCATTCCTCAACAGAGGAAGTTCCTAAGCTCACAAATTGGTACAGGGTTGATGGCAATTACAAATTCCATTCAACTTTTTAAGAGAGGAGCTTAAATTTAAAAATATGCCTCAAATAAAAGTGGAATCAATTAGGCTGTGATTAAGAACTCAACTGGACTAAAACCAAAAGAGACCTAAGGGTTGCCTCAGGACCAGGATTAAGAACCACTGAAAGCTTTTTTTTCCTCCCCATGCAAAAGACTGAATGATAAAAACCAGAACCCCGATTTTTTTTATTACAGGTTACAAGATTTTAAAATGTCTTACGAAACCAGTTCAAACAAACAATCTTGCAATGTCTTTACCAAGAGAGATCTACAATAATTGACCAATTGCACAGAACACAATAAACAAAAGGTTTTGGACATCTATGGAAATGTTAACAAAAGACAAGTAATGATTAAGATTTTCTGCTGAATTTATTCAAACCACTCACTAATGCAGTCGCCTAGAACACCAGGATACTTAAGTGTTGAGCTTAATTTTTAAGAAGCACATTCAAATTATTATTCATGCATTACAAACTTTCATGGCCAATAACGGTACACTGATATTCTGGTAACTGCCGTTTAATACACAATAAAATTTGAGCCATGCTTTGATTCTGGCTTGGGTCTTCGTTTTTGAAACAAATTTTATCTGGAATTAATCAGTTGAATTTATGGACAGCACTCATTTCTAAGCCGCATCCTGTGCGCCAAATAAAACTTCAGGGAACCATGGCATGGAGCCAGTTATAGGCTCTTGTGTTACCAACAAAGGTCCAATGTTTTTTACCAACCCAACCTCTTCAATAGTACATTTGCGCATCAAAAAGAGATCGATACCATGTGAAATTCCTGCTGGCCGAAAGCCTAAAAGCAGGACACTGGACAGTCGCAACCTGTTGAAAGATAACTCTGGGACAATTTCTTCTGAAGACACCCGATTTCCATCCATAATCGGTGTGGACTGCAGCATTACCTCTGGAGTGCTGATCTTGTTTGGCACATTTTCTTAAAAGTGGCTAGATTACGCAGTCATAACATCTTCATCAACGCGACACAATAAAACATGTCTAATCCTTAATAAACACTTGTGCAAAGGATATTAGAGTCACGCAAATGTTTGTAATGGTTCGTAAAACCTAGTTTCAGCCTAAAGCTAAGAACAGAACTCCAGGCAGATGAAATGATGGAAGACACCATTAAGGCACAGTTTGTGCCAACTCAGCTCTTCTGGCATGTGTATGCTAAATGTTATGTTGCTGTAAGGTTTCCATGCTGTTGTTTTATTGTGCAGTGTTTATGAAGCAGTTATGACTAGTTTTAGCCTCAGCCAAGCTTTACCTATTTTAAGCCCTACTCATTATTACATGGGTTTATACAAAGCCTCAGTTTTCCTTTTCTCAAAGTACTGTTCCAAGGAGTAATACTCACCAGGGAGGGAAGAGAGAAACATCCAGAAGATATTTCATAATGACTCTAATTATCTGTGGGAAATATAGGACTCAGATGTGGATTACAGATACTGCCATATGTATCCAATTAAACTACAATGGAATTCTAAAAAAGCAGCAAGAACTATGCTATGATTATTTACACTAAATGCAAAGAGCTGAATTATGAAAAAAGCACTGCAATCTTACAAAAACTACAAAAGTAAAGTACCTTCGAAAATAATTAACACTGACAGTGATGCATACCAATGACTGTTCAGCACATTTACATTCCCGAGCAAAAAGTGACACAAAGCCCAACCACAAACTGAATCAGTGGGGAGCAGGTTTTAACGAATCACTTTAGACAAGCACAGCTCTGTAGAATTCTTCACTTTCAACTGTATATCATTTTGACGTGAAAGCACCCAAGTTCAACACAGGAAAAAAAGACATAAATCAGGAATCTCACAAGGTTGCCAGTTTAATTTCTGAATGGCAGTAGCACTCTTGTGTAAGTACAGTACCACAGATTTGCATCAGCTATAATTAAGGCTGCTAAACTGTTTAGTACCACTCGGAATTTATGGAAGGTACCCTTCAAGCACAGTATTGCAAGATAACAAATCACAGTGTTTTACAAAAAAATATGCAAGTGGGAAAGAGAAAAATTCTGATTTAAGCAACTGGCAATGAACAGGCATCTCCAAGACATTTAACATGCTTTGAAGAAATAAAGCTCAAACATCACTCCTGTTAGCTTCTTTACGCCAAGTGTCTATTAACAGAAATGTGTATAATTGCATGCACACGTATAGTATAAGCTAAAAATTTGAAAGCAGAGTCATAAATAAATGAAAATAAGAGGACAATGACTAAAATGCCTATTTTAAAATTTTACAGGTGCTACAAAAAAAAAGAGAAACAGGGGTGTTCTTCACAAGATGATTCAGCTACCCTTTTACCCATCAAATGGTTGTTCGATGAAAGAAAAGTGAGCAAAACTACTAACAAATGGAAGGTGAGTGAGGGAGTACCTTAACAGATACCTTATGGAATCTGGATTTCTGTAAATTTGTAGTACCTTGAAAAGCATTATTAGAATGGCAAGAGAATGCAAATTGTAAAAGCAAAAGAAAGTTGGTAACTTCTTGTAAGGCATTAACATTAAATTAATTCAAGAGCATTTTAATTTCACATTATGCATTAATTCTTTCAACTAATATTAAAACCATTTTCAGTATGGGAATGCCAAAAATGTAAAATTACAGTCCTTGGACTTCTTTAATCCAATTTATTGCCATATTCATATGTTTCCTTTGAGTAAGCTTACAGCCAAACTTGAATTCAGTAATTACAAAATATTAATTGAAAGAACAGAAGCAGGAGTGTCTAATCCTGGTCTCAGAGGGCCAGACACTAATTGGCTTAACCGGTCTCATTTACAAAGTTGGTATTGCTGTTTAAAGAGACCCAGAAAACCACCAGACACCAGACACTTCAGCCCTCAAGAACAGCCCAGCTAATGCACCATATAACACTAGTGCAACATGCAATTGCATTTCAATTTAATATTAATGCATACCACACAAAATGTTTAACCAAAACATTAAAAAATTACACTGATAATTTAGGAATGTAATCAAGTTAGCCATTTATGTGTTGATAAATACAAATTCCATGTAATGGTAATTTATGACCAATTTCAAGCTTTTACAGTAGGTATACATCATTTAAATACTACATATACACACATTTCACAGCTGACTTCCTATTTTTTCCCTGTACACCTTTCCATCACTCACCAATTAAAAATAAGCTCTGACAAAGTTGTAAACTTTGTATAAACGTGAAAAGAAATTCTAATTCTAAATGTTCTCAGTAATTTTTAAACCTGGGTCTACCCAATTAAGAAGAAAGGTTAGTGTAATTTTTTTTTTTTAGCAAAGCATATTGTTCTGTTTTACAGAACAAACAAGACTTGTTAACAAGTGGAAAGTGAATGAACCAACTGAGAATGAAATATACTGCCAATAAGCAATTAGTTTTAGTTCTATTCGGTAAAAGGCTCTTTAAATTCACAAATTATGGCGACCACAAAGAGGTGATATTAATGTGAGCAGTGGTTGAATGCATGGGACAGGAATTCGCTAAAGATACGACATAAGATCATACTGATGTAGTAAGATCAAACAGAAAGAAAATAATGTTTTGTAAAAACGGTGCCAAAGAGTTATCAACCCTACACCTAAAATATTTCAGAGATGTCAACCCGTTAGATCTTTTTTGTCCTTTTCAAAATGTCTTTAAAAGAGATTAAAATCCTGTTTCAAGTTAACTAGTTAAAAAATGTCATCTTTGGTGTTAGAAAACAACTACAAAAACCTATAGAATATAAATGCCACTGTACACTTTACAAAATGATTGTGATCATTTAACTGATCAAAATGTAATAAATTGATACCACGTATCTAAAGTAGTAATCTGGAATTTTCCAAATATATTTAAAGTGCTTCAACATGATTTTCTCCCTCACTAGAACATCACAATCATATTTTTACATATATGGTGCTTATTAAGTTAGCTGGTCTATTCAAACAAATCCATTGTGAAAACTGCACCATGACACAAATTGGATGCCCCAACAAAAAGGTGTCTACGGAGAATTAATTGCCATGAACAACACACAAGAGGGCGCTACAGCTCTCTGTCACCATTGTGTCCCCAGGAAGATCCCATCTGCATATGTACCAAATTTCATTGCTCCCTACTGCACGGTTTTCACAATAAAGTAGCTTGCATAGGCCAGCTTCTGAATAGGCAAACTAATGTTAGCCTGTATATACACAGAGATCCTTAAATCAAAAATAAGGCAGATTAGGTTTGCTCAATATCGTACTTGCTAAAAGCATGCACATAGTCTAATACCACACATGCTGTTGGTTGAAAAGCTCTAATATTCCCTTTATGGAAACTATAAAAAGGATTTCTCTTTTAATTATAGTTAATCAAAGGATAAAACAAATTATAAAGCGGCTTCATTATTGTCAAAGAATTAGATTTTTAAAACATTTAAAAATGGGAATACTTAGCAGCATTTCGAAGGTTGCTTATTTGCACAGCTCAAGTTGCTTGTGAAGTCATTGTTTTGAACAGTTCAGTACAGAAGAAAACATCTGATGCTCAAACATTACAGTTGCCTTTGCATCCCATGTTTTAGAAAAGTGTCTATTAATGCCATGTGTTTTGGAACTGCAAAGGATTAAGTAAGAGAATATTATCTCTAACATCCTCTAAAGTAGAAACAACTTTTAAAAAAAGCTGTTCAAGGAGGAAATAAACAGCTCTTTAAGAGTCAGCTAGAAAACCTGTCTGTTCTTTCATTTAGAGTCTTTTCCCAGACCTGAAACCTTAACACTATGAGTGTGTTGGTCTTCTCAGAAGCAGCATTTTCAGTGCATATCCACATGCTGTGCATTTCCAGTGTTAAATACATCAATGGAGCATTGAGAGACTGTCAACGTGCAGTTTTCTTCCAAAACAGAGTTTGCTCTCTTCTTGAGTTACGAGGTCTTTCCCACAATTGGATTCTGCCTAAAAAAAGGGCAACTTCACATTAAAACGTGACTCTAAAAATGTCAAAACAGCCAACAAAAATAGAAAACAATTTAAATTAAGAATGGTACAATCTACTGTAGCACTTTCAGTATGTGACCTGCTGCACAAGAATAATGTAGATTACAAATGCATTTACCCAGTTAAAAGCCTCATCTTTGCAGTGTCCATGATAGTTTTTTTCACCCATGAAAGCACAACTTATGTTACACAATATTAGTGTGATAGATCACTTGCTGTTACTCGTCCTTCTAATTTACTCGAGGATGGCTACTGAAATTTCTTTATATCTTTAGATCTTTTAAGAAACGTCAGAAGGAAGAAAGTGCTTCCATGTTGTTTTCTAAACTTGCACTTTACTTTCCATTTTCAAACTCTTGCGGCACCACGCCAGAGTGCATTCAAGAACAACACCCTCCAAAAACCTAGTGTGCATACTTACTCACTGCCATATTTGGCACTTGTCGATCTTTTCTTTTGGAATGTCTCATGGTGTTCTTGGAGCTGCTCTGTTATTTCATGGATTTGCTTAATGGTGTTGAAAGTTTCCCTCGGATCCTGGATGGTGAAGTGGGAGTAATCGTCTTGCTCTTTCTGGGGGCCCTGGTACACTGCAATACTTGCACAAGCATCTGCAATATGACAGGTTTGTTACTCAAGACCAGTCTCTCTCTGTGATCCGGCCGATCCAAGACCGCATCAAGAAATCCATTAAAAAATTAAAAACAGTGAGAGCTAAAAGCTTTTCAGGTGGTGGTTTACTTTAAATGACAAGCAAGAGTAATTAATGAAGGAGCCTGGCAAGAAGCTTCTATTCATGAACGGTGAAGGGAAAGCAGAGATTGAAGAAATGGGAGTGACCAGAGGGGATAGGGCTGACCAGGGCTGGTCATTCTGAACAGGGCAAAGATGAAAGCTGACAACTGGGGCTCAGGTCGCCAATGACCATAAACAAGATCCAAGACACCATAGGACAGAAGCACCCTTTCGGTTTCAGGGGAGAACATGCACTAGTTCATTAGAGACTTTGTCAAAAGTAGAGTATGAATACAGACAAAAAATATTAGCACCGGGCAAACATTTTTAAAGATGTTGTGCAAGAGCATGTACATATTGTGAGAAGAGTTGTTCTTTTCCCTTTGTCCAAGGTTAATTATAATATTAAACTAACCCCACTACAACATAGCACAATGTTGCTGTACACCAAAAAAAAAAATGAGATGTTGGTATGGTAGGACTACGCAAATTTCCCAGCTCAGATGATTCCCTATGTTCAACAATGACTATAAGCAATTCTCGGTTTACTATAATGGTATTGAGGGTTGTTTATACTGATCTTGTTATTGTGCTGTACATTACTAATCACACTTGCCTTCCATCTTCTGTAGCTTTGACCTGTTTGATACAAATAATGAAAAGATCCTCTCCGTTTCTCGATCGCAGTCTATGTCCAGCTGGATGTTTGCTGGCATGGTCCTAAAAAAAAAAAAAGAAAGCAATTAATGCCCTTCTCCCCTCCTTTGCCTAAGAAATTCCAGCTAACAAAGCAGATGTGTCAAAAGCTTTCATGTGATAACTCATGACAGTATTGCAGTTCTTTCAGTGAGGAGACCGTCTAAGGAACTCCCACTTACTGTGCTGAAGCCTGGTATTTCAAATATTCTGTACAAACAAACGGACCAGTTCATCAGCATAGCCATCAGCTTCAGTCACAAAAAAGAAAGAGCAGGATTATTCATGTATATTTACATTAACTTAGAAGACAGACTGGAGTTTTATTCACTTGTAAGAACATTACACACTTAAATCACATTTTAGTTTTACAAAGCCTGCTTTTTGATTTAATGTAGAAAGTTACTTGCTTTCAACTCGCATTCTGAACCGCAGTGGTAATCTCAGAGCAAGCACATAATTAAAACATATCTAGAGAGTAATGATTTAACTTTGCCTCAAATTAAGGACTTAGTTTTTACTTTTACTTAGTGCCTTGTTTTAGCGAAGCATGCTTAGTTCACCAAGGAAACTAAACATGCTGTTAAGAGTCCTGTACTCACGCAGTACACGGCTTGCAGCCAGGCTGAGTCTCGGATGTGGCCTTGCAGCACAGCCAGTTTCCGCTGATATAAGCGGAGGGATGGTACGAGTTCAGCCTTCCCAAGTTGCAACGACTAACCCTGCTGAGTACTTCGATCCACTCGTTGGCTTCCACGCAGTTGTTTGCTTGGACGTAAAGAAGCTTCTCGGTGTGAATGACCTGGAACATCTGCGTTCACACATACACACCTCACAGTGAAAAGAGAGAATCACGTACACCTGTTCGTTTGTTGCATTTACAGACCTGGACCAATCCTGCAATGCATTAGGTCAGTCAGCCTTCCTGAGTTTATTCTGCAAAGCCTTTGTGCCAGTGTACTGCCTGGCAAAGCAATACACATTATATGGATAATTTTTCTATGGTATCTATAAATGATTGCACATCCATAAAGTTAGCTTTCCAGCAAAGAGGAAGTCCAAAGACTTGCAAGCCAGCTGCAGGCTTTCAATGACATCAGTGAACGATGGGCCACTTCTCCTGTCAGCTTTAACACTCCTGTTAGGGTCCACATAGCTTGCAATGCATGAAATACCAAATTGCTCTGCAAGTGGGCATGCATTGTACGTAGAGAAGCATGTGCGTCTCACTCTCCTGAACGGTCCAGGTGCTGCACAACTAGTGATTTCAATTTGGGAAGATAAAAAAAAATAAAAATTGGTGACTCCAAAATTCAGGAAAACAAATGTGCTCATACTGTTCAATGGAAGGTTTTAAGCTTCAGCAAATGACTCATTATCCCAGACAGGCCTAAACACACATTTTTGGATTTAGCAGAAAACCCTGAGACCCTTCATATGACTTTTAGGAGGATGGGAGGGAGAAAAAAACAATCTCTGCTGCAGCAACGACCTCAGGAATCCCTGAAGGAAGGTGAATGATTGGCTGATGGCCACCAGTGCTTGAGCTGGCTTTTTCTTGGCCTTCTGCAACCCCCAGGACTGGTGAGGTGTCTACGAGCTTACAGTGCTGTGCGTCTTGCCCACCTCACTCTACTCATCCATGTTAACTCCCCTGCACAGCACAGCTCTAAGCAGGGTAAATAGCTCTGACAGATTGGAATGCAGGAGGAGGACATTCAAGGGTATTTGTTTTGCCCACGCATTATAGGAGGCTGCAGAAGAAAGCTGAGAAGTTTTTAAAAAGTAATATATTGAGGGTAGATTTACGGTTACAGTTTAGGGATTTATGATTAAGCAAACCATAAAAAAGTGCAATTGTTTTAATTAAAATGAACCCTTACTGGGAATAAGTGTCTCTGTTCATGAAAGTGGTTTTGCAGCTGAAGACCAACAAGTAAAACATGAGGTTGAGTACTATTCAAAGCAAGTCATACTTGTTAGTATAGTTTGGCCATACTCCAAAATACAACACACAGCAAGTTAAAAACTTACATTTTTCTTGTTAAAGGCACTCTCTTCAAGTTTCTCCACAGCCAAGATGTTCTTTATTGGAATGACGTAAAGTGAGTCTTTGCCTGTTAAAAAAAAACAGTGTTTATTAGTCCAATGAAGAAGTCTCTTTTTCGGCCGATAGTCACTCAGGTTTCTCTAACTGAATAGTGGAGCCACATGGTAACCATGATGGACCTTTATTTAAAGTTAACTCCAAACTGCTTTAAGCTCACAATGGCATAGAGAAGGGCTCAAGATATCCAGTTGTCTTTCAGGAGATCCCCTTCTTTTGGGGAAAAATGACGTGCATTTTCCAGCAGATCAGCTACAGCATAGTAGATAAATGGATATTTAAGCCATCAGCCAAAGAATTTACTTGCTAAACGTACTGTATAGCATACTCCAGAACAGACGATAATTGTTCCATCCAAGCTCTGTTTTTTGTGGTGCACAATGCCCAGATACTGCACATCCATGCCAATATCTTCAGATTTACACAAGCTGATAAATTTGCAGGTGCTCCTCTCTGGAGATTTTAATACCCCTCTCTGTTATATCCTTTTTGGATTCCAAAGCAGATGTCTTAGCTGCAGCTTCGAGCTAAACAGGAAGAGCTTTATGATTTTAATTGTGGCTTTGTCAATTCTCCTCACTTTCTGTGTGATGCAAGAGAGTAATGGCACAAAGCATTCCTTGCTAGGAGACCTAATGCGTGATGAGCAAGGCAGGAGGAGAGCCAGGGGTGAGCAGTGCCAGAGAACCCGAAGTCAGGAAGAGCTGACAGGAGAAAAGAGTGATGTCCGGTGACAATGGCAGTAAAGCCCACTCAAGGTCTTTAGAGAGGTGTGGAAGCAGAGAAACGGGATGATAGTTCTGAAGGAATGAGGGACAGGGTGTTTTTTTTAAATTTAATTACAATTTTGTAACCACGCCATGCAAACTACACTGGTAATTGTATTCATTCAAATCCCTAAAATCAAACAATTTACACAAAATTACTGTATTTGATACTTCACTTGAAAAGTCATGTGTGCACATCAGACATTTTGCAATTTATATAGTTTTTTGTTCACAACATTCACTAGTTAGAAATGTATTTTACATGACATCTGTATAGCTAGGGTTTCCAGGCTTTAGTTACATGTTTAAATGTCTGTCTAATTTGAGCAGAAAAGTAACGGCATACTGTATATTCCCATGGTGTCTGAAGCACGCTTTCTTAAGTAATGTTTCTCAAGCTGAATACCTCCTGCTATTGTACATAGTGCAAGAAAAGGGCAAGAGTCTCAATATTCTGAAAACGATACACAAGGCCTTGGCACTAACAGTACATATTGGAAATTCACAAAACCCCACTTGTGGGAATAGTTAAAGGGTGAATGGTTTTAATTTAATCTTTCCCTATATCCCTAAATCAAAGTGCAAAGTTTGAGTTTTAAGTTTTTATATTAAGACACCATTTCCTTAAACTAAAGATACCAGTGGTCCAGTCACTGATCTATGCAAGAGCAAACCTAAACATTTTATTTGACATAGAAAATAACTGCTGCAGAATTTTTCTTGGTCTAAAAGAAAATCCAAATGATCTAATTTTTGCTTTACCATTCATACAAAAATAAACATTAAAGGCTGTGGGACTGACAAGAATTATGACTTCCCGTTTATTTTAATAGTTAGGATGCTTGATACTTAGGCTACTAAAGTGTTTTGGCAGTTAGCACTGTGACCCCACAGCTCCAGGGTACTTAATCGGGGTACCTTGTTTGTAGAGTTTCCATGCACCCCCTGCCCCTCTCTCATCACAGGCTTTAAGTGCCCCTGTGTTTCTTACTAGAGGGATGAACAGTTATTGAAAGGAAAAATGAATTCTTAAATCAGCAGCACCTGTGAACTTCTTACTATAAACGTGACAGAAAAGATGGGGTTTGAAAAGCTTGGATTTTCAGTCTCTACCCTATTAGATTAAACCGAGAATAACCTAATATTGTTCTTTAATCTTACAATCACTAAGAAGAGCCATTTTCAGATTTTTGGAAGTCACTGAAAAAACATTTTCTGCTTCATTAAAGTTTATTGTAATTTTAACAACCTACTCATGTCTGAGAAAATGATTTTTTTTTTTACAAGCATTGCTTGGCTTGCTGCAATATTAATCCTATAAAACACAGAAAAGATCCTTTTAAAATACATAAGGAGTCTATAATTAAGCCAGCTGATCCAAAAATCTGGAATCAGTAAGGGAAAGTGGGCAGTTTTGGAATAAATACCAGAAAATACAGGGTAATATCCAAATATTTCAAAGCGGAAAATTGCTTATGTAGTGCTCATCCGCTAAAAGGCTCTCAACATTGAAACAAGTAATTATAAAGCTCTTTGAACATACAAAACAGGAATGGAAAAATACTTAAGGTTTGCATCTACACACAGCAAAATACATAACCTTTTATGAGGAATTGCAAGTGGTTATGCCACAAAGGTAGAAATCATCAGTGGAGTGATCACTGGTGTCCCAAGGTGTAAAATAAAGGATTCACAAGGCAATTATTTATACAGTATGTCATATATAAGGGATTGTAATGACTGCAGAGTATTAAAAGTGAACAACCACATTAGATAACTGCCAAATATCTATGTATGGTGAAGGCTGTTTCCGACCCTTTTATAGTGCTTTTTTTCTTGTTCCAAAATTTGTTCTGAGAATCAATGAAAGTAAACCAACAAGCAGCAGCAAAAAAAAATGATGTATCCATAGGCTTCTGTGAATAGAACACTAGCAAAAGTATCTAACTATGTTAGGACTCCCTTTAAGAATGAAACATTAAATGGATAATCAAGGTAGCTCAGGCCTCCCTGGAATGCTTCACTATCAAAATGAAGATCCCCGTTTAGCAAAGATTCTTCAATTTTCGTCCCTTCTGTTAATGTGACTTATATCTAAGGCATGTAAAGGCGATGGTTGAGACTTAGAAAACACGTTTTAAAAGATCTTGAACTGGGATTTGCTGGATATCAAAGGCTGCCTGCTCAGCATGCTTACTGTGCCCTACGTGAGTCTCCACAGTCACACAAACCCAATTAGAACATCACCTTCATGTTTGGTCATTGTTACAAAAAAAAAAACAAAGATGCTGTCCAGTGCAGAAAATAACAGGCTTAGGGGACTGTCCTACAATGAAAGAAACTAATTGACATAAATAACTTTTTAGTCTTTAGCAGAGAAGATCTCAAAGGAACTTGATTCAAGATTTTAAAAAAATCAAAGTCAATACAAATAAACAATCTGAATTAACAGGGAAACAGGAAACAAGAGATGTGTAAAGTTATGGGGAAGTAAACTTAGATCTGAGAATAAGAGAAGCACTACTTTACCCAAAAGGGTTGTGGGAGTCTGGAACAAGATACAGTACGCAGCCATGTTTCTGAAAACGTGCCTAGTTTCTTTCAAGAAATGACTAGATGAGATACTTGGATAACTTGGGTAGTAACTACCACGGTAGATGTAGTGAGCAAATGTGCACCTCCAAATCACACTCATATTCAATATTTTTTAAATAATTCCTTTGTACATCATTTTTTTGTAAACTTGACTGTTAAACTATCTTGGAGTTATAATATTCACACGGTAAATAGTTGAACCACTTAGAAATATACAAAATACCAACTCAGACCATTTGTGAATTTGGTTGAAGCAAGATTTTGTGGCATCATTTAAAACTACATATACCCTCTTTTAAGTTGCAATGCAAGCAAAGTATGTTCAAAATGTGTAAAACCATGACTAAAATGCCTCTGTCCTCCCCAATAGTGGATGATAAAATTGGGTCTATGGTAGTAACCTCTTATCTTTTTAGTACTGCAGAAACCAGCTCTTGCAGGTTTCCGCCTGTACCCCTATATGGTTTTATGACACTATGCCATAAATTTCCCTTTACAGGAATGAACGTGTACCTGATGTAGGAAACACTACGCAATCCCAAAGCAACTGTAAAATTTTTCAAATAAAAAAATATACAGCTGTTTAGGAAGTCTAAGTTACAGAAAGTCTAGAATGACAGCCATATATGAATGGAATCCAAGGTTCAGAGTGCAATTTCCAGTGGGACTGCCCACTTGGTATGGAGCTTTTACATTCTGTCCATGCCCACTGACATCTACTATAGGTGAGGTTTGTTCAGGTAATTGGTGCTGTCCCCTTCCACAGAGGACATTTTAAGGGGATTTTGGTTCCACTACCAGTCCTACAGAGAACATGAACAAAATTAACAATGGCCTTCACTCATCTGTGGCCTTTCGGATAACTTGGAATTCTGCAAGAGGGTGCTGGTGCATTGTCTGATTTGTAACAATCATAAATCAATTTAAGGCTTAAATGTCTTAAAATCACATAGTTCATGCTGTGAATTGTAAAACACCCTCAGTACATCTTCCCTTACTCATCTACAGTATATAATGTAAAAGAATCAAAGTTATGTGCCTCAGCAACATTTAGTGTGGTCAATAAGAAAAAAATGTTTCTGCACAAATGATCTGAACATGCTCTTGGGTGTAAGCGGTACTCAATTCAAATAAAATAAAATTCAAATAAATAAAAGCATAAAGCCCCCAAAACAGATTAGCATATTGTTTAGTATAATCAAACCTGGCATTGTGAGACAGTACTGTATATCAGTTTTATCTAAAGTGCAAAAAAACATGAGAAGTTAAGCGACTATATATTCTACACTTGACAAACGGATAAATCCTGAGAAGCTTTAAAGCTAATGAAGCAGAAGCAAAATACACACACACATATTAAGACCTTCCCACAGTTCATTTCTTCACAGACATTCCATATGCACTGGTACTAAGAAATGGAACTACTTGGCAGTAATACCCTTGTGAGCCACATTACTATTTTTCTATTTCTATTGCAGGCTCATGTACTTAAACCTTATCTTACTGCATTCCAAGTGAACCTACTTATAGGTTATATAAAGCCATGACTAAAATGCACGATTTTAAGAAAAACTAACATGTAACACTACATGTGGTAGAGTGGAAGTTTAAAAACATTAAAAATCCTGAGTGGAAAAAGTGACTTCCT